ATCCTTAATGATATAACTTGTAGCAACACTTCTTAGTGTGGGTATCTCTGTGTTAGGCCTTTGTCTAGATGGATTTACACACAATACTTTTTACTGTAATTATTCTGAATAATAATTATCAATTTTTTTTTATCATATACTTTATTAAAATTTTTATTTAAAATTAATATTTTAAAAATAAAAAATAAATTAAAACTACTAAAATTAAGTAAAATGAGTAATATTCACAATTATTAAAGTTAAAATAATGCACACAAATTAAAAAATTGATAGAGGGACGAACGTCAGACGGATTCTCGATCAGCAAGCCATGTACATATTCTAAATCGGCAAAACCCTCAACTTGCCTCTTAAAAAATATGGGTAGAGACGGATTCACTTTTTTAAAAAATACAAAGACAAAAACACCATCAAATTATCAGTCAATACAAATACGTCGTTATTTAACTGCTGATGTCATTACCGTTAACATGACTATTTTTGACACCGTGGCTAATGGACCTCATTCTTTTTCCTTTTTAACCAATATTTCCTAAATTAACCTTCATATCCACTCAAATTTATGAAATTATGCCATTCCTCAAACGTATATCTTGGCTTATGTGTTTCTATTCCCATTTCCCCATCTTCTTTTTGAGCTAGATCTACAAGCCTCAATGATTCCTTCATGACTAGTCAAGCAAGACAGCATAAGAGAAAATCTTAATGACGAATAATTATGAAAAAGAGAAAGTCTTAATGGCAAATAATTAAGAAAAAAAAATGAAGAAGAAGAAGAAACCCATGAAATCTCACAGTTATTGTTTTCAATGCTAGTAAATATTTTTTAGAAGTTCAAAGGCCAAAAAACAATGAAATGAACTAAATTTTCTTGAGAAACAAGAACAAATCACTACAGAAACATAATTTTATGAAAATAAGAAATACCCAAATGAAAAAATTACCTCAGAACAATGAAAAATACCCAAATGTTTAGGTTCACAACGAACCTCACCTATAGTTGCTTCCATCACCTTTCACCAACCCAAAGTTCAAAACTCATAAAAGAATCAACGCTTGTTTCCTAATATTCACCTCTCCTGTACCGACCCAAAAGCGGCCAAGCAGCCATAGACTATGATGCCCGACCCCCCTCCGCCGCCACCCTAGCCCTCTGCCTTTTCTCCACCTTCCTAGCGATGGATCAGGCTGACTCCTTGCTCTCCCTCACGAGGTATGTCTTTGAACCTCTAATTGCACCAGCTTCGACTGCATCTTAGCCCCTTATTTTGAAATCTCTTTATTGAAAATTGGTGGTCATCTTGCAGAATGTGTGAAGGAGGATCATTGACAAAAAGACTACAAAAGTTTGTTTGGGATCATCTTCTCAAAAACTCTATGAGTAATTAGGTTTGATTTTCTCAGAAATTTCTTTGAGATTTAGGGTTTCAATTTTTCATTTTCGTTTATTATAAAGAAATTAATTTGGAAATTTTGGTTTGGTTACTATCTGGTGAAACGAGAAATGGGAAAATTAGGTATATTGTGGAATCTAGATGATGTGGAAAGTAAAAAAGAGAGGGACCCATGGGACATGGTGTAAAAAAATGCACAAATGGTACACGTAGTCTCCAAGTGTAAGAAAAATGCCATGTCATCATAGGCCAAACAGAATTTTTAACGGTAATGATGTCATCTATCAAATAATGATCGATTTAGGTCAATCGATATTTTTAAGGGGTCAAATATCTCTATTTTTTTTTTAGAGTGTGAATATGTCCCTACTCATGTTTTTAAAGAAGTGATTTGAGGGTTCTGCCTTTTAAATCACCTGATGGTCTAACAATTTCCGCAAGTATTGAAGAAAACGTCACTCCTATACATATTAATGTGTGCATAAATAAAATGCTAATATCCAAACTTGGATGTATCTGAAGATGCAGAACAAAGGACAGAGTGAATATGAAGAATTCCAGCCATGGTTAATCGGGCTTGTAAGTACACCGTCTAATTTAATCTCATCATCAATTTATCTTTCCTTTTCTAAAACAAAGATTGTCGGCCTCCTGGTCCTTCTCTTTTCTTCTTTCTTCTCATCCTCTGTACTGTTCATCTTCCTATATATATTTGGATTTTTTTTAACCTTTGAATTTGATAATTACTCCCTATGTTTCAAATTATTTGTCTATGTAAATAATTGTGCATTTAAATTTAGATAATGCTTTTATATAATATATAAATAATAATTAAAATTTTTTATCAAATAAAATTATACAAGAAATTCGCAAT